AATGTAATTATATCCACGAATAAATTAATATCAAATCGGATGTAATAAATATTTCGGACATTCACCAAAGCGACTATGTGATTGTCAACATTCACCGGTGAAAGTCAACAGCCTCCGTTTTCGGTCATTCACAGTAACAAGCACATCATTTACATAATAACCTCATCAGGACGTTTATTTCATACTTTGCCTAAATAACATTTGACATTATATATAATGCCTAGGCAATGTGTGAAATATAAATCATTTCATGCTTTGCCGGTTAATTTTAGGTATTCTATACAATGCCGGATTTCATACTTTGCCGGTAACATATATATCTGCAGATAAGTACATATTTGAAAGAAAAAGAAAGAGGGCTGCCATCCCCTCTGCAGAGGATCAAAAAAGACATGGCATGTTTTCGGATCATCCTCAGGGATGTTTCCCAAACCTTCGCCAATAGCCCATAGTGCAGCTCTAGTGTGACGAAAATGAACTACAACAACAACCATGTCATAATCGGTGATGATCATAAAATAGTGTGGTTTACTAAACATTAAAATTCAGACTGCTGAGTTGAGATGACCGAGGAAATATCAACGTGCAATGGCTCAATATTTGTATAATTTTGTTACTTACTTTTACAAAAAATCTTCCAATGAGTGGTATGTAAGCAATTCTAATTTGTACGTTTTCGCCACCATAAAAACCTTCCTCTACCGGACATTTACATTCAATTTCATTTGGAAAAAATGGACAGACATTCCTTTGAAAACTCTCCAAATACATGCAAGCTGGAAGAGTGCTAAAATGTAAAGGAGAGGAAAAGTACTATTAGTCAAAATGATTCAGGAATTCTAAAATGTATGAAAGAAAAACATTATTATTAAAATACATGCAAGATGAAAGGGTACTAAAACGTAAAAAATGAAAAGCACTATTGCCCGAATATAATTAACCTTGAAGAATACTTTATTTCAGGTCAAAGACAATAAATAGCCACGATGTGTGGTTTTCGACTGAAAATATTCTATTTTATAACCGTCGTTGAAAAGCCGACCCAATTTTGAGTTTACGTCTATCGAAGTTCAATTTCGTATCCTTGTAATTTTGAACCCAGTCCAAAAGACAAAGGAACTCCTGGATGAAGTATTGGGAGAAAGTTGCCTTCGTGGAGGACTTTTTGATGGAACTAACCCGCATTTGCATTACATTGAGAGGAAAACCACGATAACCTCTCACGGTCAACCTGACGGCAAGGGGACTCGTGATCCGTCTACTACTGAGGGTATTTTACGTTAGTACTGTGGTTGGTGCAATCCAGGTGCGGAATTCGAATCAACCAGCCATTGCCGGGATTCGAACCTGGTTCAACTCATTGCGAGGCCAATGCTCCATCCTCTGAGCCACCACGGCTTGTTATAAAATATTTATCAAATTTTATGGAAAATTCTTTCTTTGGAATAAAGTGCGCGAACTGGTGTTGGGTGGAAGTCTTAAAGCAGAGAGTTAGGTCTGCCGTATCTTCGTATATATGTGTTACTGTAAAAGTCCGTAGTTTAGAAAATCCTCGGTTTTACCAAATTGGCATGGTAAAAGACCGAAGTATGCTATAATATAATTCCATTTGGTACAGTACAGAACCCGTTATCCGGAAATCAGAAAACCGGAACGAAATTCGATAATTCGATAAAAAAAAAATTTTTTTTTTTCCTCATAAGATTTTAGGATTTTTCTTTCTTTTAGGAAAGATGTTTACCTTACTATCATTTTGGAAATAATCATTAGTGTATTACTTCGTTTTTTCTTCTTTTTAAGATTATTTCCAAATATATATTTTTTTAGTTTGGTTTAACAACAAAAAAAAACGGCTTTTTGTAGCGATTCAGAAAACCGGAAAAATCAGTTATGCGGAATAGCGATGGCCCCGATCGTCCCGGATAATCGGTTCCCTACTGTACTTTCATCAAGCCTTTACAGTAAAACCTTGGAGTTGCCAACGCCTTACGAAAGGTTTATGTAATAGGATTTTTCTTTCGCGGGTTCATTCCGTTCATTAGGGTTATTTTTCGAAGGCTTCATCATCATTTGAAACGATAGACATTCTGCTTTACTTACATAAATTTGTGATCTGTGACCTGAGAGGAAATAAAATCGTTTCGTTACCAGATGAGAGCAAAGCCTTGTAAATCCGAAATAGCTATTATTCTTTAGGATGAAAATAAGTAGGGTATTTCAAATGTTGATATTTTAAAAACCGCAATTATTTTTCTAGGAGGCAGTTATTTTAAAGTTCTTCGTACGCAATGAACTGGTGATAATTAAATTTTGCGTTGTCATCTAATTTTTCATTAGTTCACTTCATTTGTTATGGTCCCACAGTCGACTGAACGTTAAGACACGGTTCCCAGTAGAACACCGAAGTCAAGCATCACTGGGTGCTGTCAGTGTGCAGGTGGGTGACCACTCGGAAAAGTCTACGAAGGGACCGAGGGTGTGCGGTATGGGTCCTCGCTAAACTGTTCTACCGTAAAGTGCTCGACTTCGCACACAGGTCGTCGGGCTACCGAAGAAGGGATGCCATACCATGTCTTCGGATCATCCTCAGAGATGTTTCCCAGACCGTCGCCAATAGCCCATTGTTCAGCTCTAGTGCGACACAAATAAAAACTACTACTCAATTGTTATGTTTTCTTTACTCAGCTTTAATTCAATGCATACCAACTTGTACGGAATGTAAATGCGGTCGATGCTTAATACTGATCGTCCTGCCTTTGGTCACGTAATTGTGGAGCTTGAATTTCCTTAACCCCCCTAGCCCTCAAATGGCTGTTGTGGGAATACTTGTTTTTTTTTTTTTTTTTTTGAATTCATCGAAATTTTTTATATTTTTTAACGAGATATTTTTTAAAGACAAAAATATTTTCGGAAAATTTGGAGTATTCTAATAAATGTTTATTAAATAAAATGTTGTTTAGGGTTAAGGAAATTGACTGAGTGCTTTAGTTTAGCATATGGAAAACCTGAAACCTTCATTAACCAACTTCAAACTGAAATTTATTTCAACTTTTAAATAAATAGTCTTTATTCCTGTCGTAAAATGAAACAAAAACTCAATAAAAGGCTCTTGCATTACTTAATGATTATATTATTGATGAATTCATTTTGAATGCCTAAAAAGGTTTTATGGCTTGAAGATCTGCTATAAGAAAAAGAGATTATTTTCATTAATCTAGTCTTGATTTAGATAAGGTCATTTTTAACGGTAAAACACATTTTATAAGTAGCTTCTTGATGTTTCTATACATTATGAATTTAATTTTCTCCGTTTTTAGAACGCTCCGTCGTTATATAAAATGATGCGTTTTTGCGGATAGCATGCTGTTTTCATAACTGCTATGAGTTTGCAACAGTTACTCATGACAGTTAGGTCAAGTTTAGCCTATCATTAGCTAGCACCCCTTATATTTATTCTGAAAATGGCACAAATCGTTAATAAGGAGAAAAGTCACAGTTTTGAGAAAATGAAAAGCGTTAGTGGTCTAATTTTTTTAATATTTAAAAACTTACTTCATTACTGAATTATCTCTGCTCATAAGATAATTTAAAAAAAAATGAGAATAAGGCATTGTTTTTGATAATTTTTATCTAGGTGGAAAAATGTTTCCGAATTTGGCGCGATTTCAAAAAAAAGTTAAATAACATTTAAAATATTTCATTTACTTGTCCGTACTAAGGCCCAAATAATTCTTCACGGCAAAATGGCACATAGATAGTTTAAAATCAGAAATTCGCTTCTAGTGCAAGGCACTTAAAATGTGGCTTTTTTAATTTCCTTGGCGACAGAGCTTCAAAAGAAAAGAAAAACAGTGAAGCAGGGAAGATTGGTCTAAGTATTTGGTTGGGATATATTCAATTTGGTCTGTGTTATTTTGAATCTAAGTTAAGAGCTTTGAAAAGCCCTGTTAACATAATATTCCTCTGTTGTTGTTGTTGCTGAGGTATGCCTGTTTAGGCAGAGGCGGTGCGATTGTTCCTGTTTTCCAGTGGCGCCATCTATGGCCGAGAATTCGACTTCTGCCACACCATACATCACACCCGTTTATAGGACGAATCCATTCATTCATCCACTGATCGTTATTTTGACCTGAATCAGAGAACGATCGATCTCCAATCCCGTACCCCCAGAGGTATTGATTTGTTATGATAACATGGAGGACTTTTGCGACTCGACTGNACCTCAAAAATACCTCAAATCAACCTTAAATATACCTTAAATTTTCATAAGGGCAGCGCCCTACTGACCAGGCTATCCCGGCCTATATTATTCCTCTAAGTTCTTCAATTAAGTATTGGTACACTTACAGTCGATTTTTATGTAATTTGGATCGTTTAGCAATTGAACTATTTTCTAATACAATCAATACTTGAAAAAAAATGTGATCTTACCATGATCCATATTTTGATGCGATGCAAGGAATGGGAATGTCCAAGCTGTAACCGAAAACTCTTGTCAGTCTAAAATACCTTGTATCTAAAACAAAGTTGCTTGTGATGCTCTTTAGTAGCTCTATGTTAGCAGTTATGCTCACGTTGTTCGTTAGGTCTATGGGATCTGGTTCGACAGTAAAGTTATTTACTTGGAATATGGCAGTTGCATTATCAGCTATAAATAAACAAGAAAGAAATACGGTCACTTTTCTAAAAATTGCTTCTCTATATCCTTATAACTAATAAGCGTTCTGTAAAAGCAGTTTTTTTTTTCTTCCTGTGCCACTAAATAAGGAGCTGGGCAATAGAGATGAGCTCAGGCTCGCTTCCGGATGTCCGAGCCCGATATACGTAGAATTATTTAAAGGTTGTTTTCATGGAAATTTCGTTGTCTTATGAAATGCTTTATTGCGAATAATATGCTATTTTTATAACTGCTGTAAATTTGCAACAGTTACTCATGACTGTTTGGGCAAGTTTAGCCTACCTAAAGCTAGCCCTATCTATGCTTATTCTGGAAATGGCTCAAAATATCAATATGGAGAAAAGCTACAGTTTTGTGGAAATGAAAAGCGTTTACGATCTGATTTTTTAACATTTAAAAACTTACTCTAGTGCCACATTATCAGGGCTCATAAAAATTTACCAAAACTGAGAAAAAGTAATTTTAATAATTTTCTTCTAGGTGGAAAAATGTCGCCAAATTGGCGATTTTTAAAAAAAATTTAATAGTTTTTGCTTGCTTGCTTTCGTATGCCTGTTAAGGGAGAGGGGTGCGATTGTTCATGTTTTCCTGTGACGCCATCTATGGACAGGAATTCGACTTCTGCCACGCCGGTTTATAGGGCGGTCCCATTCATTCATCCACAGATCGTAATTTTGACCTGGATCAGAGAACGATCGATCTCCAATTCAGTACCCCCAGAGGTTTTAATTTGTTATGGGAACATGGAGGACTTTTGAGACTCGACAGATTTAACTTGCATCAGTCACCATTTACTACACGAGTCAATACTTCTAGAAGAGAGAAGATCCCAACACTGATTACCATTAACAAGAAATTCGATCCTTTAGTAGTTCAAACGTAATGACATTTTTTGTATCAACCCCCATTGCGCAGCTTAGTAGTCCAAACGTAGCAACATTTTTCTTATTTACATTTACTGCGCAGTTTATGTTCGTCACGTCGGACTACTAAATTGATTCGTGATAAGTCCTTCTCTTCTAGGAAGTGTTGCTTAAGCATGAGATATACGTCAAATAAAGACCCAATTTTTGCGATCTCATCACTCTGCCATCTCGTAAAGAAAATCAAAATATTTAGATAAATTAAAGTTATGTAAAGTATTAGTGCTAGTCACACAAAGCAAAAGCCCGAAAAAGAGAAGAATTTTTATACCTTATGAATTTTACATTTTTTTATACTTAATAACGGAACTAAACGTTTGTTTAAAGGCTGTAAAAGAGTTCATGAAAATTTTATTATGAATCCGACCTTGCTCGAGACCTTTTTTCAGTAAACGAGCCCGCCTCATCTCTATTGCACCTGCGCACTTGAGAGGAACCTTCAGATAGTTAAAAACTGTGTATATATATTTGTAGACAACAAGATTGGGCATCACCTCCCTCCCAAACACATTATTTCATTTAACAAAAATATAAATAATTTATTTTCTTAAAGTTATAGTTATTTTCTATTTTTGCAAACACAATACAAATCTGTAATATTTTGTGCGAAATATAATTTTTGAAAGCCTCCACTATTATTGTGGGGAAACAATCATCTATAGTTACACAATATTTTTTCAAAAACTGAAAACTGTTTGGAAAAGAGTTTCAGTAGCAATCATGAGTCAACTTTATTATAAACGAGGACTTAAACAGAAAATAAAACATAAGATGGAGCTCACATTATTATTTTAGAAGCCTTTGTAGGAACTGGGTACTTACACTTTAAGAAGAAGATCACAGATACCCACGCATGACGTCAGCTGACCTCTTATAAACAAAATGGCGTTAATAACTTAAGTTTCTTCGCATAATTTAGAATGTTAATTATCGGGAAGTTAATTAAATTCAGCCCCGTGTCGCACATCGAATTTGTTGTCGACGTCTTTTACTTAAATTGGATTTAGTATTTGTTTACGTATTTTATTGTGTAACCATGATATATTTTTGTTTCGTGTACCTGGCAACTTCGATGCATAATTAATTTGTTTATGTTCTACACAGCTTCATGTACGTTTTTTGTGTTAAGTAAGAAATATATAGTGAAAGAATTGAAATCTTTGTGAAAGAATCATCGTGCGGGAATATAGAATGCGTCATTTAAAAGAATCGATACTTGAGAGGCTCGGCTTACACGAAATAGTATGGAAAGCACAGTTGCTAACGTAAACAAATCCCACGTTTCAACAACCAATCACGATCGAGATACGCCCATTACGTCACTTGCAGATATCCCATTCATTAATATTTTTATAAAGCGCGTTACATTGCGTTATTTAAATTCATGTTTAGATTAATGTATGCGAAAATTATTCCTTTGCAAAAATCTATTATTTCCACAAAATAATCTTAAATGTAAATGTAGTGACCTAGATTTTCTTCATGTTCATTGTTTAAAAATTGTATCTTAATTCTCGATTCAAATATTTACTTTATTAAAAATCATAAATATGTTCAACACTGTATTCATTAAATTTGTTAGAAAATCATATCTAATTCTCAATCCAAATATTTACTTGATAAAAAATGCACGACACTGTTTTGATAACGTGCAATCTTTTTTTCTTCTTCTTTAATAGATAGGGATCCCAGAATCTATTTTTCTTATCTTGAAATCGATTGACAATTTAAAAGAATAACTCCATTAAAGATGTAATTTTCTTTAAATTTTTCTATCAAGAGATAATTACTTTAATTTCTTTGAAAAATTTCACTTTAACCTGAGAAATGCACAAAAAATAAAAAAATAAGAAAAAATTAAAGAAATAATTAAATCATATTTTGTTCTTGATTATTTATTTTTTTCCAGTTGCTGCTATGTACTTACAATTCGCATACAATTTGAAATATTTGATTTGTGAAAAAGATTTCTCCGAGTTGAAATTTTGGTAAAAATATATAAATAATTAAAAATAAAATAAAAATAATTCACAAAAACGTGTAAGTTTTACATTGTATTAAGATAATAATAAAAAAAAGTTTTTTTAAGAGATCAGCTCAGTTTGAGAAAAAACTATTCTGATTTTATTTAAACAGTAAATTTTATAAAAAACAGATTTTATTAAGAGAATCTAATCTGCCCGAATGAAATTTTTATTTGACAACCAGAACACAATTTGCGAAATTGCGTCTCCTTGAAATATACATCGAAAACATAAATCTCACATAAAAAATAATAGTTTAATAATACATTTATTGTATAAAAAACTTTATTTAACGTATGTATTTCACACAAGCTTTTAAAATTAAATTTCGGACTCAATAACGCTTTTCATTATTGCTAATTTCAGTTATTATTAATTTCTTGTCATTTGTTTATTTATTTGATGAAATATGCTTTGATCTTGTGAAAGATGCACCATAGGTTTTTAAAAGCAATAAGTTCAAAAAGAGACTAATTGTTCTCTAACATTAAATGTATAATTTACCATAGTTCGTATTTTAGTTAATAATTCACCGTATTTATCATAGTTCTTTCGTATTCGTATTTATTTATCATAGTTCTTTCGTATTTTTAACCCTTAATAAGTTCGTGGCAAATATTGATGGTTGACCGTGTGAAGCTAAGCGCAGATAGCGCTCGGAATTAAAGTTCGCCGTAAGACTTCCGGATTACTACGAGTACTTCCGACTAATTTTTACGCCTAAGCTTGAAAAAACGCACGATCCAATATTATTATACTTACGGGTTCTTTCATTCCAAATAATAAAAGAAGTTGAGTGACCAATAGTTGTTGAATTTCAAAATTACTCTTTCATTTATGGTCATTTTGCATTAATTTCAATTAAACTTGTGCAAACAGCAAAGGCATAGCATTTTAATCATAATTATATAGGAATTTTTTTAATTCATAATAAAACACTTACAGCAATCTTCAAATGTAAATGCAGATTCAGAAAAACTTGAACCCAAAACGAGACACATAACATTAATAATTACTTTGTTAATACTTTTCCAACAAACATTCTTCATTTCCTCTAACATGAAACAGTCAATTCACGAGAAGAAACATGGTACTTTTCGAGTAACTTCACGTAATCGAAACATGACCCCCTTTTTTTTCCCATTAAAATACAAACATATATTCAATATCTGATGTTATCTATTCCGATAAGAGATAAATCCAATTACAGAAACCTTAGAAGCAAAGCGATTTTTCCCTCCTCTTGTAGAAATTTGCTCACAAATTGTAAAGCCTTTTTTAGATAAATTTAAATGCTATGTTGAAAGAAATTATTGGGTAATTTCTTAAGAATCAACTCACTCTTTTATTTCACTTTAAAGATATTGATCGCAATTATTTATAGTTACTAGAATTGGATTTTTTAATAGCGTGTTTATAGCATGATCACGTGTTGTCTATTATCTACCAGTGTTTTATTTTGTCCTATAGGCTTGTGTCTTGCAATTGAAAAAATGACGTTAGTGCTTCAGAAAGAGCTGCATTTGTGTTGTTTTTACAATTGCACAACTAAATTTTTAACTCACACACATATATGTATAAGTTCAAAAAGTAGGGAAAACATGGAAAAATTACAGAATAATGAAAAAAGAGAAATAGAAAATTATTTCAAAAATAATAATAATTTTTAAAAGAATTCCGGAAAAAAATCTATGATATCTTAATTTTTTTATATCTATTTCACCGGATTTTTTTAAAAATAATTATCATTATTATTTTTAAATAATTTCCTTTTTCTCTTTTTTCATTATTCTGTAATTTTTGAGAAGACATGGAAAAAATTACAGAATAATGAAAAAGGAGAAATAGAAAATTATTTAAAAAATAATAATTTTTAAAACAAATGCGGAAAAAAACATGTAATATCTTTATTTTTATATATCTTTTTTGCTGGATTTTTTTAAAAATAATTATCACTATTATTTTTAAATAATTTCCATTTTCTCTTTTTTCATTATTCTGTAATTTTTTCCATGTTTTCTCAACTTTTTGAACTTATTTTACGAGTTCTATACACTTGTAGCTTATGCACAATAAATAAAACTTATTGATTTTCTTAATTTTTCTTTATTTTTTTCTTTTTCCTTTTAGTCCCTTTTATATTTATTTATTGTACTATATTAGATTTAGTATTTGTTTATGTATTTTGTTGTAAACTTTGTTTTGTGTACCTGGGAACTTCGATGTGTGCAAGTCTGATGCGGAATTCGTCTCTACCAGCCATCGCTGGGATTCGAACCCGGTTCACCTCATTGGAAGGCGAACGCTCTATTCCCTGAGCCTCAACCNTATATATACGTCAAATTATGTCAGTCACGTTTGTTATTATATGCAATAACTGCACAAAATTTCGTAAACCTAGATTAAATATTCATGAAGATATGGACATTTTTATACAAAACTAAATTTTTTTTTTACTAACGTCCTTTTTACTGTAACTGCTGAAATATTCAATAAAGTTAAACAAAATATTTAGGGTGACTTTTAATTAATAATAAAATATCCTTTGAAATTTTTTTAAAAAAAATCCTTCAAAATTGCGCAAGATATGAGTATTTAGAGTTATGCTTTCATATTGCGCATATGCGCGGAAAACGTTTACAAAATGTTTTTCATAATTTTGTTTAAAATAGTATTTAAAAAAAAAAAATTTAAAAACATCTTTCTGATTTACTGCCAGTGTATATGATTGGTCGCGATCATTAAGAAATGATAGAGACCCTATTTGGGATCATTTTTTTTATTTAGTGCTTTCTTAGGAAAAGTGATTTCAAGTAAATTGTATTCGCGTGTGTGCCCGTTACTTAAGTCTGAGAACATTCGTGATTCATCAAATAATTAAAAAAACATTTAAGAAGTAGGTGCTTTTCCGAAATCAATTTGTGATTGGTACATAACACTTATTTTTATCGGTGAAAGTGAATCCGTCTTGTGAGTAATGAAAGTGTTATTAAATTTGATTTATTGTTTTAAATTTCATCGTTAAAACTATTTTTAAAAACTATTATTACCAGAGTTTATAATTAAAAATTGATAGTAATATGAACATATTTTTTAATATTATTGTGTTTGCATTTACTAGAAAATTTTCTTGTATATAAATAGACCTGAAGGTGGCGGTTATGAAATTTTAATTCGATAGTAGAAGCTACTGTTAAGAGATTTTCAGCTTTCTTATAACAAAATTTATACCAGTTGTAGCATATCTATCACTACAAAATTACAATTACAATTCACTAGTATATAAGACATGTTAACTCGATTCTATGTTGGAGTATCTTTCCATAGATGACGGTTGACATGGTCTGTAACTACTATCCCCACATTGGTGACCCGGACGTGATGTGATCACGCCGATCTTGACAGTAATGCTCACTTCGATCTAGTAACGCCTACTTCGATGAATGGTCCACAATGAACAGTTGACTTGCTACTTGTGACTGCAACATCATTCACCTCCTAGCGCTGTTGCTGCTCAGTTTCAATCACACACAACGTATACACTCGACTGCTAAAGGCAACACAGGAGCGACTACGACCATGAAGTTAATACACCTCTCACATTCAGCACTCAAAAAGTACGGTGATCTTAATACAGCTCTCCCGGCTTCTCGCAAAAAACAGCAATGAATCAACTAGTGGTATCCGTTCATCGAATTCTATCACAGATATAATTCTGGTGGGGGAGTACTGTAGCGTATCTACCACTACAAAATTACAATTCGCTAGTATATAAGGCATTGAACTCGATTCTATGTTGGGTACCGTTTCATAGATGACGGTTGACATGGTCTGCAACTACTCTCCCCACACCAGTTATAAATTTTTTTCTGGTACGTACAAGCCCTGTAATATTTTTTCACTTTTCGTAATGGGAACGAAGTACTTTTTTTTTTTAAATATTATTCACAAGAATACTTTTATTGGAACATATTGAAAAAGCTATTAAAACCTGAAGATTATCATTGTAAGATATTTACTAAAATATGGCTAAATAAATTATTATAGCTGTAGTTCCGGTTTGAATATTTTTTTTAAAAAGTCTAGTACCGATGCTTAAATTTTTTTTTACGATCTTAGCAACTGAAGTCTTTTCCACTAGGTTTTCAAAACCACTACCTAGCCGGTCCTAGATGAAAGATGAATAACAGGGAATATCTACCAACCTATTATTTTTGGGTAAGTTAATACAAAAGCTTCTGGAAAGGGAGGTCTTGATAGCTTATTTTCGAAAAGGATCAGTTGGTACTAGGATAAATTAAAGCCCTGGATACTTAGGTATAAATAACAAAGGAAAAACTTTGCAACAAATGAATGAATAAATTTCAAGCTTACCTGACACAATGTGCTGTTTTCGTTTGAATTCCATTTACATCTGCCGATTCTATGCAGCCATATTTTCCGTCGTTTTTCATTGCGATCTCCATGGCGCAGCATGTCCTCTCTGGACCTTGCGCCATTAAAACTTACATTCAATTCAATTCATTGCGATCTCCAATAGATAAACGATGTAATTTAAGGTATCCGACTACCTTTAAAACGAGGATTTTCACAAAAAATCACTTTTTTATTTAATTGCTTTATAATAATGCTCAATTTTTCTAGTTTTCAAAACTGTTTTGTTTTTGAATGCACGTCAAGCATAACTTTAGTTATAGCTATTTTAGTAACAGATGACAGCTGTCTAACTTACCGGAAATTACAAAAATGAAACCGGTAGTAGGTAATAGTTTCGGTTCCATTTCTATTTGTGTGTTTATTTTTCTTAGATATTTAATTTTTAAAAGCTCTTAAACTCACGGCTAATAATCTGAATTATATTTTAATTAGATTTTACGTTTCGTGGTTACTGTTTGTGGGTAACATGAAAAGTTAGCATATTTTCTGATAGTTTGTTTACATTTGAAGCGTACTTTCTATATCTTGATTTTGATTTGTTTTGAAGAAATTTATTGATTTCTTTCAAAAAAATTTGTTATTTATTTTGATGAATTTATTGAAATGGGTAAAGGACGTACTTCTCGATCTAAGAAACGTAAATATTACGGTAATCAACATGCCACCAAAAGCGATGATTTGAGTAAAGTTGATTATACCATTTATTCAAAATTGTGTAAAGCAGATGAATCTATTACTTCAAGCTCTTCAAAATTATCGATTTCTATGGATGTCAATAAAGAACTGATGCCTTTGGATAAAAACAATCTGTGTGGCAATCGAATAATTGATATTGAGATCCTAATGGTGATATTAGCTTCATTATGTTGTCCGGTTTGCTATGATAACAAATTGCATTTAGAAGAAAATTCTAGATTTGAGCTATTATAAATATTATAAAAAATATTTTTTACTTCTAATTATTAATAAAAACTATATTTAGACATATATATTAAAGTGTGAAAATACAGTAAGATGGTTGTTTAATAAAAAATTGTTCCTGTGTTAAATGCTTTATAAGTAGTAGACTTTTGATGTTATTCACTAAATACTTTAAAATATCGCTAAATAATACGTTAAAATATCGCTACGTTAAATAAAACTAAGAAAATGTGTGAAGGAATGTGCCCCCTATAAAATATAATAACTTCCTACTGACAAACATTCATAGTTTTTAGAAAAAATGTAATTATAAACTTTAATTGTGTTTTTCTCAAAATGACAATTTTGCTGTTTTTTGTCTACGGAAAACAAGATAACTCAACTAATTATAATAAATTTGTCTTCAAACTTTCAGAGATTGTTTCTTGTATTGGTGGTTATGTAACAGACCTCCAGAATTCAGATAACTGTATTATTTTTTGTTTTATGAGATATTTTGCAGTAGATAATGTGAAGAAAATGTGAAAAAAAATGGAAAAATATGCTTAACACTCCATAAATTTTTTTAATTTCATGCTATCATTTAAGTTGAGGTTCATAACACTTCAGAGGGTTATACGAAACGGCTCAAAAAGTTTGATAGCTGCATGTACAATAGTTTTTTGTGTAGAGTGTTTTCCGTTAATGAGTTATTTTCATTAAAATTATCTAAAAAATACTCTTTAAACAAAAAATTTCCTGTATATTAAAATTTTCTCTATTAAATATGTTTATTTAAATTAATATACAATATAAATTGCAATAATGTTGTGGAAAATATTTATTTTTCAAAAATTTTGTCCCGAAGGTAGTCGGATACCTTAAAACCAAAATTTCACTGATTTGAACACCCATATACGCAACAACCGGTTGTTATAAATGTAAAAGTATGATGCGAAACAAAAAAAAGGCGAAAATAAAAATAACAGATAGGGCGCAATGATACTTCGCCATTTAAACAAGTCACCAAGATGGCAACAGTTTACCCATGTGATCAGCGACAGCCAATCAAAATCGAAAGCGGCACTAAGATAGCAAAGAAATAAGTGACGTTACTTTATCTAGTTAATCTAGAGCTTCAGGATAAAATAACTTCTACGTAGGCTTGTAAATAATACTATTTCACACAAATTTTTTAAGTTTATGATTAAAAAAATAAATTCTCAAAGACTTTGAAATGAAAACTTGTTTATTAATTTATATGACAAGAACATACATATTTCAGGGAACAATTTTTCCAGTGAAATAAACGCAGGCTATCTCTTTGGAGGGTTTTTTCGTCAGTATTCTCATTTCAAACTTAAAATGACCCTACAAAAAATTAGAAAAATACAATTAAATATTTTATCGCTTGTAATTTAAATAAGTACAAGTAAGTAGAGAGTGCAAAAGAGGTATAAATTATCCACAATTTTATTAATGGAACGAAAGTTTTGAATATTGTTTGCAAAGCAGTATTTTTTTATGATTTGGTTTAACTAAACTTTTGTGTCTTGAACAAACCACAAAGTGTGAACTATTTTCTAAGCAGACGTTAAGGCGTTGTGATTATTTATATGGAAGGTGATCTGAAAAATCAGCCTTTAATATCTATTTTTAGAAACTATGTCAAAATAAGTTCATTTGAGCTTGCGTAGTAGAAGACACAACCTGCTGTAAATTGCACAGTTTAAAAATCTTTTAAAAAAATTATAAGCATAACTGTTGTTGTTTCCAATGCCACTTTCTAGTACCAACAAGCCTGCTAGGTGAAACCAGGCAAATTGCGTTTCATGTTCATCAGTGCAAGCAGAGGGCGCGTTTCATGTTCATCAGTGGCGCCATCTATGGCATATAATACGCCTTTCAGTCACACGCACATGTCACAGCTCGTTTTACAGGGCAGACCCATTCATATATCCATTCATTCATCCACAGATCGTAATTTTGACCTGAATCAGAGAACGATCAATCTCCATTGAGGTATTGATTTGTTATGTTAACCTGGAGGTTTTTGTGACCCGACTGATTTAACGTGAACAAGTCACCATTTACTACTCGGGGAGTCTTCGGCTGATGGAACTCACTTGGACATGAACCCAACGCCCTACCGATCTGGCTATCCCGGGGTGGGCATAACTTATACCGTTTACTATAAAGAACCTTAATGAGATTTCAAAATTTCAGATTGAGATATTTAAATTAATCAGTTACGTTTTTACAGCTAATGAATTTCTATTTTTAAATATTCGTCTGCGACTCTAAATAAGTAATATCTAAATATGCGGATAAATTTTTAAAAAACAAAATCTTTAAATTATTCGTTGTTATGATAAAATTAACCATTCTTTTATCATGGCTCAATGTAATTATTTCTCTGTGGCGTTCGTGTTGTTTTAAAACTTTGTGTGTCATCACCATTTTTAAACATATTTGATTCGCATATTCAAGTACTCATTTATTAATTCATTTTCGTGTCTGTGAGAGTAGAATCTAACAAACAAAATTTTCAACAATTTCAGGATCAGCTAAAGTATTCAAATTCAATTCTGCTGGATCGATGACAAATAAGATGCAATTGTTTTTCGAACGTTATACAGTCCCTGGCCAAATTATTAGACGCACTATAAGATTCTATGTAAAATCTTAATTATCAGGTGATACTATATAAGAAACGAATAAAATAAAAATATGACCACCGAAGCCGACGTCTTCAGGGGGTACCGGCCTCGGTAGCCATTAAAAACAAAACCATTTCTAATTGAGGGAGAAGCAAATGCTTAAAATATCTCCCTCAGTACCCCGATGGTTTTGTATAGAGGTCCAGGAAAAACAAGATACATTCAAAATAATTAACAAATTAAGAAAAGAAAATCAATCAAAATCATCAGAAAAATAAAAACTCACTAAGTCACAGGTCAAGCATCAACTTCAAAAGCAAGTAGAGGAAAAGAAAACACTAAAAACTGAAAAACCAACGCCCCCTATTATAATGCGCAGAAGAAGTTTAAAATGAAATGGAAAAGGTCAGGAGAAAGAAATACGTAGACAAATTAATAGAATGCTTAACTGGGGCTGCTCAGTTAAGACTAGAATTGCGCCCTGTTAAAAGAAAAAATATATAAAAACTTAAAAACCATCAATCATTTTTTTAATTAAAAAATTAACATTACAAAAATTAAAAGGAAAATCATTTTTACTCAAATTATTTAAAAAATTATCCACAGCTTCCCGAAAACTTTCAACATTATTACAAATTTTCTTGATCCTAACTAATTGCGAAAAAACAAGATTTTTGAATATTTTACTACACAAATTAGTTTTAAAGTTGCAGAAAAAAATAACATTAAAATTAAAGGCTTTTCTTTTATCAAACACACCAATTTTAATAAAATTGTTAACAATATCAATTTTAAAATCTAAATATTCAATATTAAAGCAATTTTCATTAGTTTTTTTCAGGACCAAATCACCAGGATAAATTGTATAAATAAAATTAAAATCGTCACAATTAAACAAAATCAAATCATCAATATATCGGAAAGCATTAAGTACTTTATGTTCAAGAAATTTAGCCTCAAAAAAGTGCAAAAAAATGTTGGCAAAAGCCCCAGAAAAGGAATTACCTTGTGGAATTCCAATAATTTGTTTATAAAAATCTAAACCATTAAAAAGAACATTCTCAAAAAGATTAAACTTGCATAAATCTAACCAGTTAAACCTATCAATTTTTTCATCAAATAAATACTTGTCATAAATACCTTCACAAATCTCAATAATTTTTTCATGTGGTATGCTGGTATACAAATTTTCAAAATCAAAAGTGTTAATGCTGGAAATATCATTACTTTTAATAAAATCCAAAACTTCAACATTACTTTCAATAATAATATTTTTCTCTTTTTTAATTTTAAGCAAAATAATTTTTAAAAAACAAAAAAACCTTTTACTAATATCAGAATTATAACTATTAGTACCACATGCTATAAACCTAAATTTAATCGGATTTTTATGAAATTTAACAATTGGAAATAAATATGGAAATGTAATCCTATTTAACTTAAATTTTAATTTTTTACTAAATGCAATAATTCTTTTTTCAATGACTTTTTCATCGAGACTGAAACCGGTTTGCACTTGTTTACGTTCGTGTATCAGTTGGTTAAATTAGGCTTTATATAATATAAATTTACGATTGGATAAATTAGACGTTATATTATATAAATATAGAATATTTATTATATCAGATATTGTATTAGTATATTATAATAATTAGATCCAATTATTAGACGCACTGTAGTTTTTTAATAATTACATGTTTTGCACGAGTTTGCATGTAATACTTTTATATTTAAACATGCATGTAATGGGTTTTATTCAGGAAATTTATAGCATACTTCCGATTTATATTTATTTTTAACGTATTGCATTACAATGTTAACCAATTGATGCTCGAACGTAAACAAGTGCGAACCGGTTTCAGTTACGTGAAAACAATAAAGCTGTATAATATCACCTGATAATTAAGATTTTACATAGAATTTTATTGTGCGTCTAATAAGCTGACTGTAAGTGAACAGAAATATTCTCACAATGGTACTCAATCGCCAATCAAAATTCTTACCACTTTCCGGTGTAGAACTCTGTACCTGTACAATGCAGTGTCTATGTACAGTGTTTTATTTATTTATTTATTTGAAATTTAAGGAATAAAAACCTTTGTTGTTATGTTTTCATAACTAATTTCCGTGGAACAATGAAATTAGCGAATTAGCTAGTTCATTCAGTTTCCAATTGGAACTCTTAGTAGAAGATAATATCAATTGGGTATAATATGAAAAAAGCACAACTACTTCCACTTACTAGGAATAACATTTACCTTTTAGTTTAATTAATAAACTGAGCTTTAAATATGCTTACTAAATTCATAAACTTCGGTAAAACAACTTCGTTTGATGCTTTTACTTGTTGCTAGAAATCAGGTTCGCTGAAAATGCTGTTTACTAGTTAAATTTAGTAGGAATAACACGATCTGTGACGTAGGCTATAGTATACCCAATTCCAACCTTCTTATGATGCTGCATAGTGATTTCAATCACATAATGTAGTCGACGGAACGAATTTGGTCTATTAACATTTCGATCACCTTTGAACTAGCCTGAATCCTTAAATTTTAGTTAGGTAGCTGATTTCAATGCAGGATACAATTTTTCAAAAAAATTGAAATAATTCACTTGTTTGATAAATAATACATAAAGTATCTCCACTTTATCACACTCTGAAAATTGTATCCTGCATTGAAATCAGCTACCTAACTATGAATTCTGACCACTTCCCGAGATAAAATAAATTAATTTAATAACTTTCACTTCAATTTTCTTTCAAGTTGTCTAAAGCGAAAAAAATAACTTTTGTCAGACGAAAAAAAAAAGGCAAAAAAACGTAGGGCAGGGGCGGATCCAGAAATTTTTCCTGGAGGGGTCATAGACTCAGATTCATCCNCCCCCCCCCCGCAATTAATTCTTTCAATAAAAAAAAATTTTTCAAATTTTTTTTTTTAAAAAAAACTGGGGTTTTTAATGCTAGCATTTTCAGATATTTTTTTCATAATAAACAATCGAACAATACATAAATAATTCAAGTATTCAACATCTTTAAATAATAAATGTAATGCGTTTTTTAGAAACTTTGGCAAATCTGTCGATGATTTTTTTCAGCATCCAAATAAATTTCTCGATGAATGTTTAATAATGCTAGTCCATTTAATCGTTTAGAATTTCGTTTTAATCTTTTGGATTATAATTCTTGAAACAGTGAAGAACATAATTAGATGGAAAAAAATGGATTTTTCCGACCTACCTAGGAGGTGTATATGCCCCTTAAATAATTTTTAGAATATTTTATTTCCTTTGTAAACTATTAAAAAATTATTATTTTTATTTTTTATTTTCAATTTTGGGGGGGGGTCATGACCCCGATGATCCCCCCNTGACCCCTATGACCCCCCCCCGCCGCTGGATCCGATACTGACATAGGGCACATTATTTTTGTAATAAAGCTCTATCACCACCAATAATTTCACCTTTTTTTTTATTTTAGTTCTGAAAAAAAATTAATTTATTTCCTTGTCTACTTGATAGACGAATTTTTTTTTTTTAAATTTTTGTTTCATTATTATTTAAATATTCTATCTCCGTTTACTAAACAGTGTATGAAATATTTAAAAATTTATCTGAACCTAATATATTGATGTAAAAGCCGGGGAACCAAAATGTACGCTTACCGAGGCGAGATACTTTACTAGAGGTCCGAGATCTGGTGGTGCCATGATAATGTTAGATGCGCTGTACGAGTTAGCTTTCAATGGACAATCACATTTCTCGCCTGTTGGAAAGAATGGGCAAATTTGTTCTTTTGTTCCACTCATATATTTGCAGTGCTCATTTGTACTGTAACGAAAAAAAAGTTATAGCCTTCATTAGACCCAACAGCAAATTGACGTTAGAAATATGCTCTGCTCAGCGAAAACTAAGGTCGCCGGCAGCGGGGTGCAAGAGGATGCACTTGCACCCCCCTGGCTTTTTTTTTAAAAAACAATTAAAGAGATACAGAAAGACAAATTTGTTATAAAATTTTTTCATTATAAATATTTTTATTCAAAAACAAATAATTAAGTAATTATTGATACACAACAATTAAGAAATTGTTTAATCAAATAAGAATTGTAATCGTCTTGTTTTCTGTCCAAATATGTTTATAACTTTCTCCATGAATTTTGAGTCATTTTTGATTCTTTTCTTATGCACACTGAGCATGCACAATCTTGGCAGATATCTAAGTTATATTTTTAAATTTCATTTAATGAAATATAAGTAATGTTATATTTTCCATTAGTTATTTAGTTTAACAAAGGTGTATAACATAAACTGACTTCTCACTACTGTAAAACTTCATCAATACAATAAATACCAATGTTAAGCGTGCACAAACACGCTAGTATACGAAAGTACTGTTTGTAGTCATTTGTTTTTCAAAGTCAGTAGCTATGCCAGCGCCATCAATACAGTTTCTCATGGCAAAAATTGTTAGTACCAGAAATTCGTACTTTTTTTTAAAATATCTTGTTAACAATGAAGAAATGTATCTTGAGAAAAATTANCAAAACAAAATGTAATAGCAGAATATTTAAAATTTTTTTCGGGGGGAGGGGAGGGTAGTTTGTTAGAGGGTTGCACCCCCTTTTATATTATTCTGCTGGCGCCCTTGGCGAAAACTGATAACGGGAGTCAATAACCGAAGAAAAACCACGGTGACCGAGAGCAAGCTAAATAGCTTATTCTTATTTTATTTTAAAACCGTCGTTAAACAGTCGATTCAATTTTGAATTTACGACTACAAGTGCTCAAATCTGTAGCCTTTTATTTTCGAATTTTTGTAATTTTGTACCCAATCTTGAAGACAAGAAAACTTCTGGAACATATATTGGAACAAGTAAACCAGTATCTGTCACCCCTTAAATTTTTGCTCATGCGTTTCGAAACTCCTGGTTCATATAAACACATTATTCACTTGCTGTAATAAATTATGTATACATCATACACTAATTTTTATAAGAATCATTCTAATAATAAGTAAATGCGTAGATAACGGCGAATAGCAACACCGAAGAAAAAAAACTGTCTGATTTTGGTAATATTGTTAATAAGTATAATAGAATTTAAGGTGCAGTAACAATGAAAAGAAGTTCTTAATTGGTATTTAATATTAAAAAATATGCTACTGACGAATCTTAAATCCAAATATAGAAAGCAAATAAAATATTAAATTTAAGAAATCTTATGTGTAAGTCTTTGTGCCATGTGTGCTCCCAATATATAAATATTTCAGATTCCAGATGAAAATAGTAACACAGGTGTGAGGATTTCAAAGAGATTAGAAGAGGGCAAATAAATTTAGCTGCCTATTCTTCGTTGGGAAAGCGAAAATTCATGTGTTATGAGTCTTCCGGATTCTTGTACAATACGAGTAAAAAGTTCTTTAGCGATAAGCGAAAAAAAATTCATATTTGTTTTTGCCAAAATAATGATGACCCTTAGAAAACCGTGTTCTTCAATGAAAAATATCGAAATATTAAAGAGATTAGAGTATTAAGGAACTCTTGGAATCAATTAACAAATCCATTAACATTAAAGAATTTTTTAGTTTGATTTGTGTTTGGAATATTGTGCGCAGGGACCGATCAAGGCAAATTCAGGCCCAGAGCCCACCAAATTCTCCGGGCCCTTTACAAAATATTTTGAAATTAAATTACTGAGGTTTGTGTAATATTTTGAGTAATTACTCCTTCACTACTTTACTCCTTTACTACTTAATTACTACTTTACAATAGAAAATAATCTATTGAACTGCATGATTCAAGATAAACATTCTAAAAAATTTTGAAAGCAGGCAATTGAAGATTACTTTTCTAAGATAAAGTTTACGTATTTATAAATTAAAGCAAAGTATAAAACAACAAAACAATGTTATATTAAAATGAAAAATAGTTTGGTGACCACAAACAATTGAAATCAGTGATTTTCGCTAAAAATCACTGATTATCTGAATTATTTTTTATTGTAAGCTGTAATTATTTTTTATTTAGTACTTAATCCAACACAAAGCTATCCCACCTTTCATTAGACTTTTTACTAATTTTTGAAGCAGCTCAGAAATTGTGGGCCCTAGGCCCATGCCTATTGGGCCTAGACGATAATCAGGCTCTGATTGTGCGCGCGTAGAAAAATATGTGTTTCAAACAAAGCAAACTATATAAAACTATGATACTCACCAAGATCCATAGCCAAATACGCAGGGTACAGGAATGCTTACAGCGACTCCAAACAAATGTTTTACCTTGTAAAACTTAGCCTTGACTAAAGCACCATCCGGAACATCTTCGTGGAGAATTATGTTACCAGACACTGTAATATTTCGACTCAAGGATATAGGATCAGGTTTTAGGGAAAAATTGTCTATGGTAACAATACTTTTGTAGCCTTTGCCTAAAATGAACGAAGAAAAACTTATTACTGCTTTTCCCTATAGGGTAATTCTATCACTACAACCACTTTTTTTTGTATTGTCCCCTTTGTTGCCCCTTCCAATTTCAGCTTTCTGCTTTCATCGATGCAAAAAGTAGTAAAACAAACCAGAGGCATTGTTTATCACTACAAGTTAAAATATTTTTACGATATCTTCAGAGCGTTTCACTTGGAGAAAAAAAATCCGCTATAGTCATTTTAATAGCAATCATCATTTAATAGTTTTTATGAATAACAGTCTCTAAAACTATTAACATTTCTTTCCGGATTAGGAAAATCCTCTCCGCAGGAGATCAAAATTGTGATGGCATGTTTTCGGATCATCCTCAGGGATGTTTCCCAGACAGTCGCATATAGCCCATTGTGCAGCTCTAGTGCGACGTAAATGAACTACAACAACTACTACAGCAACAACCGGATTAAATCAGTGAATTGGAGTATTAGTTGTTGTTTTTGTTCATTTACGTCGTGCTAGAGCTGCACAATGGGCTATTGGCGACGGTCTGGGAAACATCCCTGAGGATGATCCGAAAACATGCCATCACAATTTTGATCCTCTGCAGAGGGGATGGCACCCCAGCTATGATAGCCCGACGACCTGCACGTGAAGTCGAGTACTTTACGGTAGAACAGTTTAACGAGGACCAATACAGCACACCCTGGGTCCCTACTCAGACTGATCCAAGTGGTCACCCACCCGCACACTGACGGCAGTCAGTGATGCTTTCTGCTGAGAACCGTGTCTTAACAATCAGTCCACTGCGGGACTTGGAGAGTAAGTGACTAGTAAGGGAATTAGCCAACTAGTAAGTGAATTGAACAGTTAATCTGAAAATACGCCATTGAGTTTGCAAATTAAAATTTAATGAACCTGAAATTTTAGTTACGGTTAAGCATTTAATGACTCCATTTTTTTAAAATTATTTATAACAAATATTTCAAAGAATTATGGTTAAATTTACGAAGTAATATGCAGACATAATCAACAGAACATGAAATATTATTAAAAGTACTAGCAAAGCCGGAAATATTATTAAAAGTACTTTTAAAAGTTTTTCCACGAATATCTAGAATTCACTAACAGCAAAAATAAATTCTTAATGTTTATTTTTTATCATTTAATTTAATAACGCTGAGAAAAAAAAAGTTTATGTTAGGTCGTAGAAAATGTTTTCGTTAAAATACATAGTTTTATATGACAAATTCAAAAATTAAAAATAAATCGATTGAATATAAATCACTAGAAATAGAAAAAAACCTTTAATTTTTAACAAAAATCGCTTTTCGAAATTGCTTTTTTTTAAACTTTTTTTTTCAATCGGTTATCTTTTATTAAATTTGGATTTTGGTATTTAAAAAAGTACAGAATATGCGATCGCTCCAGAGTTGGCCGTTGATTACAGTAATCGATTACAACTGTAATTGATTACAGATAATTACAGCTATGTAATCAATTACTTGTAATCACGATTACAAGTAATCAATTACTTGTAATCGTGATTACAACTTTCAAAAAATTTTGATTACAGCTGTAATCATGATTACAACTTTGATTACAGTAATCAATTACTTGTAATCATGATTCCAAGTAATTGCGATTACAAGTAATCACAACAAAAACGATTACGAGTAATTATGATTACAAGTAATCAAAATATATGATTACATGT